TTTTGGAGGGGGGCAGTGCTGAGGATTGAACCCAGGGCCTTGTGCATGCGAGGCAAGCACTCTACCAACTGAGCTATATTCCCAGCCCCATTTTTCAGCTATTTTGTTCCACTGGTCTGTTGTCTTTCTTCCATTACCCCAGTGTTTTGATTACAATAGCTTTGTAACATACTTTTAAGTCAGTTAAGTATGATGCCTCCAACTTTGTTTTTCTTTCAGAATTGCTATGGCTATTTAGTGTGGTTCTATGAAATTTTAGAATTTTTTTAAAAAATGTGATATGCCATTGGGATTTAATTTTTTTTAAAGTTGTAGATGGACAGCATGCCTTTATTTTATTTTTATGCAGTGCTAAGGATTGAACCCAGTGACTCACACATGCTAGGAAAGCACTCAGCTACTGAACTATACAGCCCAGTCCCCTCATTGGGATTTCCATAGGGATTGTATTGAATGTGTATATTGCTAGTAGTAAGGACATTTTTTAAAAAAATATTTTTTGTAGTTGTTAATGGACCTTTATTTATTTGTTTATATGTGGTGCTGAGACCCGAACACATGTGAGGCAAGTCCTCTACCTGAGCCACAACCTCGGCCCAGTATGGACATTTTTGACAATATTAATTTTTCCAATCCACAAGCACTGGACATCTTTTCATTTGTTTGTGTCCTTAATCTCTCTCATTGATATTTTAGAGTTTTCAATGTCCAAGTCTTTCACTCACTTGGTTAAATTTCTTCCTGTTTTTTGATGCTATCATAAATGGATTATTTCCTTACAAAATTATTATTAATGATGAATTATGTATTTTTCCTTTCATTTCTGCCAGCTTTTGTTCTACATATTTTGGAGGTACATTCTTTTTTTTTTTTTTTTTAGTTGTAGATGGACACAATATCTTTATTTATTTATTTTACATGGTGCTGAGGATTGAACCCAGTGCCTCACACATTCAAGTCAAGCACTCAACCACTGAGCTACGACCCCAGCCCCTGGAGGTCAATTCTTATATAACTTTTATAATGGTTATATTTTCTAGATGTATTAACCCTTATCAAAATGCTTCCAGCAGTAATTCCTTATTTTGTCTGACATTACTATAACCACTGCAGATCTCTTTTGGTTACTTATCTACTCAGCATATACTGTTTTTTTTTTTTCAAACTACTTCAGTCTTAGGTAGGTCTCTTGTAGGTGACATGAAGTAGGATTTCACTGTTTATTCAGTCTAGTAAATCTACCTTTAAATGGAGGTGCTTAGTCTATTTATATTTATAGTTACTGTCATAATTAGACTTTCTTTTACCTTTCCTTGGTAGGTATTCTGGTGATTGAACCTATGACCTCATACATGCTAAGCAGCACTCTACCACTGAGCTAGAAAAACTCTTAGCTCCTGTTTTGCCATTTTATTTTTTGGTACAGGAGATTTAATCCAGGACACTTTAGCATTGAAATACATCCCCTTTATCACTGAGACATTATTTTGAGACAGGGTCTTGCTAAGTTGCTGAAACTGGCCTTGATCTTGCAATCCCCCTTCCTCAGCCTCCCAAGTTGCTGGAATTACAGGTGTGTCACCATGCCCAGGTCTCTTTTGCCATTTGAATAGTTGTCTTCTATATGTGTACTTTTTATTCCAATGAAGTAATGGAATCACAATTTAAGTTTATGTAAATGCCAATATATTTGAAAACTATTCAAATGAAAACTCAATAAAGAATACGTACAAGTTCAGAAAAACTAAATGACTCATACTTCTATCATTCAAATATAATTTAATATTGTGATATACTTTCTACTAGGCTTTTAAAAAGTGTTTACAATTCATAAATTTGTGCCTTTGTTTACAGAGTTTATATATTATGTATATACCTATGCATATATTCATCTTATACATTCTGCCATATGCATTTTCCAACCAAAGAAGTGCCATCACTAACAAAAGCGATACTTACAATGATTCTCTCAGAAGTTATAGGGAAAGCATTTTCTTTTTTGTTTGGATTCACCTATAAAATGACTGGACCTTGTGTCTTGGGACAGTGATGTGTTGTACACTTTTTTAGTATAGATTATGTATGTGTGCATATAATATCACATGATGTCAACCTTATTGATTTTGTGGTATTCAATCCTTTTCAGGCTCGTGCATTAATGTTTGAAGGTGCCTTTGCTAACTTCCTTAAATAGTTCCATGAAATTTTGTTTTATGTGGTTAAATGTACACAAGTTCGTGACTATGTCTTCTTAGTAGATAGTTCCTTTTATGATTATGACATATTTATTCCCATCAATCCTTCCTGCCTTACATTTTATATTAGATAAGCAATATTTTGATTAATATTTTATTGATACATAGTTCTTTCAAAATTCTTTCCCCAAACTCTTAAAATGTTTTAATCGTATATTTTGCAAAGAGAACATAGCTACTTAAAAAAAGAATCTAATTTGAATTTTTTTTTTTTTATTTGTACTAGGGATTGAACCCAAGGGTACTCAATCGATGAGCCACATCCCCAGCCCTATTTTGTATTTTTATTTGGAGAGAGGGTCTCACTGAGTTGCTTAACACAGCTCCATTGCTGAACTGGCTTTGAAATTGCGATATTCCTGCCTCAGCCTCCCAAGCTACTGGGGATTACAGGCTTGTGTAGCCAAGCCTGCTATGTTTCTTGTTTTTTTTTTTTTTTTTTTTTTATATACAGTTCTAATCCATTTACATTTACTGTGATAAATTAACTGCCTTTTTTTTTTCTTGCCTACTAATCCATTTACTATCCATTTACTAAGTTTTCTCTAGGTTTTTTTTTTTTTCCCTTTTATAGGTTTGGAAGTTACACATTTTACTCTCTTATTTCTGTATCTTTAAATGTTTTACATGCACATTAGAAAATTGTTGTATTCAAGGCTCTCTAATCTTTTAAATAGCCTTTCTATCATAGGATGATTCACTAATTATAGATCCTACCTCCTTGGTACAGAAGTCAGAAGTGAAATTTCCTGCTTCTCTTGCAGCTAGGATGTAGGCCTGTGATTCAGGCTCTTCTAACTAGAAGTACCCACTGAAATGTGATCCTGATGCTGATGTTAAGAGCAAATGAAGACAAGCGGAACCCCTGACATTTGGTGCTTGGTGGGTACAGCAGCATTTTATAAGAACAGTTCTTACACAGTTTGTGGCACTTTTTCAAGCTTAGCCTAAGCTGGTTTTTTTTTTTTTTTTTTTTAGTTTTCCCAATGATTCTGCAAGCTGTTATCATTTTAAGAAATTCCTGCATGGATTCTTTTTTTTTTAATATTTATTTATTTCTTTAGTTATCGGCAGACAACATCTTTGTTGGTATGTGGTGCTGAGGATGGAACCTGGGGCCGCACGCATGCCAGACGAGCGCGCTACCGCCTGAGCCACATCCCCAGCCCCCTGCATGGATTCTTAACCAATATAATGTCTTGTCAAAAATCTAAAGTCAGAATATTTCACTTCATCTGAACAAAAGTTTAAAATACTTTAATTCTGAACTGCCTCTTACCAAATCTACTATATTTCAAAGGCTCATATTTTAATTTCACCTAGTTTTAAAATTCCAAAATGCTATCACTTAAATACTACTGATTTACACTGACCAAGATATTTCCTAAATCATCTGTTTATCCTTTTCCCAACTTACTTCTTTCTTCTGGACTTAGCTTTTCTCTGTTGGAGTATATTCTTTAAGACTTTGATGAGCATTTTTGAGTCTAAATTATGAAAACATGCTTAATTTGTCTTTTCCCATGAAAGACTGTTTAGCTAGTTATAGAATTCTAGTTTCTCAGGTAAGTCTCTCAATACTTTAGGGATATTTTCCATCACCTTTTGTCATCAAATGTTGCTGATAAATCTGCTGACCAGATGACTGTCATTCTTTTTAGGGGAATCTGACTTTTCTTAGTAGTAACCTTTAATATTTTCTTAGTGTATTTGACATGTTCTAACTTCACTACTATCTGCAGTGCTTTTTAAAAATTTATTCCTATTGAGACATAGTTTCTACCTTTTATCTGATAACTCATATTTTTCAAGTCTGAAAAACTTACAGAATTATCTATGTRGATATTGCCTTTCCTTCATTCACTATATTCTCTCCTCCATAAACTCTTTAGATATATGCTGTGTCTTCTAATGATATCCTCTAAGATCTCTGAACTCAGCCTTGCTGCTTTGGCAGTCAAGTGTATGAATTTTTTTTTTTTTTTGTATTTTAGGCTCTTCATAAAGATCATTTTTATAAGAAAGGGATTATCTGGCTCAAAACCCCTCAACAGTTGTTCTGTCTTTTACCATATAAGTTGTTCTTTTGACTGTCAAGTACCTCATACATAAGGGTCCTGCCATTTATTAGCTGGATAATCCTGGGCTCACTTAAATTCTTTGGACCCCATTTTCCCAACATAGAGAGATTAATGACAAATTTACATGAGGTAAAGCATACAAGGTACAGATTAAGTGTCCAACATCTGTTAGTGCAGTAAATAAAATTTGGTGTGGTTGCTTATCTCACAGAAATTTCCCTGGTGGTCACATCTGTATTTGTCATTCATTTCAGTTATGAATTCTGAAAGAAGGCTACCATTACTTCCAAGATCTGGCAGTAATGATTGGCTGAGGAACTGGCATACAGATCTAGATCAACCAATCAGCTACTTGTTGAGACTTGATAGGAATACTGGCTCTTTTATGACTTCAGACTATTTAATGTATGAGCAGAGTTGCTGTTTTTTAGTATAGGAGAATAAAAGTAACATGTAGAAAAAAGGGAGAGATAAAGGAGAAAAAAAATTAGTGACATCATTTAAATACCTAGCACCATTGACTTCCATGTTGCACTTTGCAGTAATGTAGATTCCTTTAATACTTAGATATGTTATAATAAGCAGKAATAATCTAATAATAAAAAATTACCAGAATTTGAACATGAATCTTATTTCATTTTATTGATCAATTATATAGGTTTTTTATTTCTATTTTCCAGAGTAGTTGTTACCCTCCTACAAGCCATGGAAATATAGTTGCTGCAATACTAATATGAAATTTGAACAGTCCCTCAGAGTTACCAGTCTTACATATCATTATCTTGATTGTGTGAGATGAGTAGGCCAGGTAATAAGCTTAATTCTTGACAAATGGTGACACTGAAACAGAGAGAAGTTAAACAATGTTCAAGGTGAAGAAGGGTGAAAACCCAGTTAGATCTAAAGCATCCTCATCCTCTGTCAGGACAGCTCATAACTACCATGATGCAGAGATAGTGCACATTTTCATTAATTACTGTTAATTAGAAATTTTCAGAAGAGTACTGAAAAGTTTCATTAGCTCAATCACAAAACCTATTAAAATTTATATTCAGTCTATATTTTAAATTTATACTCTCAGAAACACTTGTGTTCCTAAAAGTCAATCTTTGCCATGCTCCTAATCAAGTTCCTGTTGCACTTTTAAATTCTGGAACTTTAACCCAGAGAATACTGGAGTTGGGGGTGTGTTTATGTATGTATTAATTCCTGGCTTAACATCCAGTGTCTAAGCTTATGTATAATTGTGGGTGAATTCTTATACCTTCTAAGGTAGAATTCTATTGGATACAGCACATGGGTAATTATTTACAAAAGTGACTTGTAATCACAAACTACTCTATTAACATTGTTACAATACTTTTGTTTTGGAGAACACAAATGCTTTCACAACAATAATTCATTCACCTTCACTGAATTGATAAGTAGAGGTTGGGTGACAAATAGTATTTTATCTGCCAGAATTGGCAAAGTAAAGGAGAAAGGAGTTAGGTATGCAAAGCAAGAGCCATTTGACTTTCTTTTTAGCTTCATCATAATGGTAACATTGCAGTTAAGAGAATTCCTCCATTTTATTTAGGAAATATCTATGATGAAGAATGTAATTTCAGAAAAATTGTTTCAACAGAGTCATGACATGGATATATCAAAGAATAATGAAAGGATTGTACTACTAATCATTGGTGCTTTTAATCGTGTACTCTAATATTTTCAATTTTTATGGGGCTAAAGTTTATTTTTAAGTGCATCATTACAATAAACTGACAGTCCTGGTATAGGTCCTCATTTCTCTAGATTGCCATTAGGCTCAAATTGATCCTCTAAATAAAGTCTGTCCCAAGAGACACAAGTAATGTAGGGAAAAAGGGGAGTTTTAGAAACCAAGCCTGACGTCACACTTTTGTGTTCTAACCATCTGTACCTTTTTAAACTAGGGGCTGGAGCCGCTCAGGCGGAGAGACACAGGCGCACAACAATCTTCTCCCACACAAGCCTGGAATGGCAACTGTGTGGCTGCCTAAGAAAGAAAAGCCGTTTCAGAGCTGTGGGGTGGCGTGGGGGTGTGTGGCAGGGTAAGAGAGTCATTCCTCTTCTCCATCCAAGGATGCTATTTATTGGAAATCCTGCCCATCTCCCCTCCACCACCACCCTTTAAATTGATTTCTCTCGAGTAGGAGGCAAAACCGTTTTGATGTGAAAGAAGAAAGGAAAAAATATGCAAGACTGGCAGGGAAGCTTTGAGGAGGAGAATCGCAAGCAGCATTGCTTTGGATATTGGGTCTGCGGGCAGAAAAAGGGTTCCGGCGTCCACAACCTGTTCGGCTTTAAAGACGACGCCCTTCCGTTTAGCGTGCTAACCCCCTCCCCTCACTCGCTCCGTCCACCGCCGCTGAGAGGGTAGCAGCCACCCGGTGGCCACCTCTCCCCCCACTCCCTTGGCTCCTTCATCTTCCACAAACTCAAAAGGCGCATTCTCACTGTCCTTCTACATTGCGAGCCCGGCTCACCCCTCTCCCCTCGCAGCTCCCCCCAGGTGCCCCTCTCTCACACGGTTTCCGGCCCCTCACCAGGATCCTCAATCCTCCCCAGGTCTAGGGAAGCGTCTCCACTCAGGTTCCACGTGCAAATCCTAGGTTGTTACCCCGCTTTTTAGTTTCCCCCACCTCCAGCCACGGGCTCCGCCCACCCTGCCTGGGGCGCGCGCCCAGACGCCGGGACACCTGGCCACCCCTCCCCCGGCCCCGCTCTCCTCCCGACTCCCCCGCCCCAAGCACCGCAGCTCGGCGCCCACCCCTCGCTGCTTCCTCCTCTTCACCCCCTCCCTTCGCAGGAGGCAAGGACTGGGGAGGGGGGGGCAGAGGGAGCGCGGCGGCGTGGCCAATGGGCGCACGGCTTACTCTGGCCTCTCCCCCGCGTGGCCGCCAATCGCGGCGGGCGGTGGTGGTGATATTGTGGAGTGGAGTTTGGATGCCGCCGCTGCCGCGGGCTGGAGCGGCGCGGCGGCGGGGGCTGCCAGGGTATTTCGGGAGGGGGGCGTGAGGAGGCGGTGGCGGCAGTGGCGGGGACTGCGTGTGGAAGCAGCTCAAGGAGAGAGAAAGAAAGGAAGGAAGAGGGCGGGGAGTGCTCTGAGGAGGAGGCGGGACGGCCAAGCTCCTCACCTCTCGGCGGCGGCGGGTGTCCGGGGAGGCGGTGCCGCCCCCTGCCCGCGGTCTCTTCAGCGCAACCGGTCGCCGACCCGCTGGCATCGGGCAGCGGCCGAAGCTACTGGGGCGGGAGCAGTGGGCCGGGCGGAGGCTGGAGTGGGCGCGGAGGCGACCGCCATGGCGTTTCTCAAACTCCGCGACCAGGTAGGTGAGGGGCGGCAGGGCGGGATCGCGCCGCTTGGGGAGGAAGGGAAAGAGGCGGGCCAGAGGTGTGGGCCGCCAGGGCGCCCGCTCGGCAGTGTTGCTGCGAGGGAAGCCGGGTCCTGGGCCGGGGACAAGCGCGAGGCTGCGGGCTGGGTCCGCGAGCGACTTGCTTGTCAGGGTAGCTCGGGCCCTGGTAAGCCCACGTGCCGCCCAGGGTCTCGCCGCCGCGAGAGAGGGGCGGGTTCCGCGCTCGCCGCCCTCGCGTCGGGCGCGCTGCCGGGTAGGCGCCTCCTCTTGCCTGCCAGGTGAGGCTCGGGCCTAACAGGTGGCTTTCCCTTGCCAGGCTGTAGCTGTGCTGGCGGCCGTGACCTGGGGTCACGACCTTGCTCTCCTGTTGGCTTCGTGGTATAGTTGGAGACATTTACTCTCTCCTGGAAAGAAAAAAAAAACAAAAAAATGGTTGATTCAGCTAGGGACTAGTTGGTGTGTAAGTCCCCAGACTTGTTTTCTTTTGACATTTTGTGCACCATCTTGGTTACTTTTCTTGACTTAGGAAGAGCTGATTTAATACCCGAAGTGCCAGAGACACTTGGGGACTGAAAAGTACTTTGTGTCTAGGAATGAAATCGCAACTATACCTAAAAGATTAGTACACCTAAAAACCTGGGAAGAGATGCGGACGTTTTCTGATATTTGTATCTGTCTTTTTTAAGGAAATGGAAAATTAACACGTGAAATTTACTGAGTCGCGGGAACTTAATGATGCTGAAAACTTATTTTTGCTATTTGTTTTTCTGAACAGAAGATATTGAACAGATTTGAAGGGAAGGTAACTTGCATACGTTGGGAAACTGTTCTGAAAGTGAGTACCCCTTTTTACAGAAACAATGGGGTCTCTTAGCAAATAGCATACCTTAAATTATGAATACAGTTAATACCGTGACTTCTCACTTCCAAAGTGATTTTATCTTTATAGTAATGACTGGCCCTATGTATCATTTTGCATCAGGAGAGCTTTAGCTGGTGTTAATAACATCAGGGCAAGATGTTTTGAGAAACTGTTTAAAATTTATACTTTTGTGTTTCAAAATATTAAAAGTCACTGTCCAGTATGTTAACCACTAATAACATGTGGCAACTTAAATTTAACTAAAATAACTGAGTTCCATAGTTATGCTATTCATATCTCAAAAGCTCAACCATACTAGCTATTGATTATTGTATTGAACAGGACAGGTAAAGAAGACTTAGGGTGTTTCACAATGTTTTATTGTTTACCTATTAATAACAGGTAAAGCACAGTTAAAGTATAAACCTTATCTAATTCCCCTACAGTCAGTGCACATTATACTCTTAACCTAGACTTTGAGTTTCATTCTATTTTCTACTAACTTTTATCAATTTAGTGGGATTTTGTGCTTTCATTTCTATTTCTAGTCCTTTGCTTTTGAAAGTTATTTTTGTGCTGTAGATTATTGTGTGCACTAGGAATGCAGTGGACTTTTAGGAGGACATCCTCTTATTTGCCATAAGATTTAAGCAGAAACAGGATTTCAGTTGGAAATGAAGTTGCATCTTTGCACTTGAGTATTTAGAAATTACAATTATAGAGCAGTTGTGATACTATTCCAGTTTTACTTACAGTGGTGATACTGTTCTTTAAAATATAATCTGTAAATTTGAGAATACTTGGACAAGTTAATTAAATGGGATGACCGGGAGAAAATAGAGAGGTTTATCTCTATCCTATCTGGTTTCTCTTTTGAAAGATTTTGAGAAATGAGTTTGTTTTGCCTGGTTTAAAGGGAATAGCTGTTTCTAGCAATATCTTAATGTTGATATTTTATTAACTGTTAGAAGTGAGAATAAAAATGAAATGGAATGCAAATACTCTTAACTTTTCCCATCTGCAGGAAAAGCAGTTCAGCTAGATGAATTACTTTATTTGGAGGAAAGGAGGAGAAGATCTGGATAAGTACACAGAATTTTAAACGTGGAAGGTACTTGATACAGCTTCTATCTCAAAAGCTTTATATACACTTGAGATAGGAAGTAGTAGAATCTGCTTTTCTAGGTCTGTTTTATTATTCACCTTGTATTTTGTTTTCTTTTGGCTCGTAAAACATTGTTTAATACATAGAAGCTGCAAGTGGGGAAGAGTTTTCTTTGTGCAGGGAAGCCTTAGTTCTTAAATATGAAACAAATGAGTAAATAAAGGAGTTCTCCTGTCCATTCAATTTGAATTAAAACAGTATTCTCTCATTTTATGTTGACACATAATGGGTATAAGAAGTAATTACTGTCCTACTTTCTGTTTACCTGTAGATGGAAATAATTTTTATTTGTAAATAAAATGAAAATAATTTGTTTTCTGTCTGTAGGAGTTAGGCACATGATTTTTTTCCCCCTGAATTATTTCACTTTGGTTTATACAACATGAATTAAGATTCAAATGTAGGGTGTTGTTTCATTAGGTGTCACTGTCATAATTTTTATTTTTTCAATTAGTAAAAAATATTCATACATGATTACATTGAAATTTTCAGCAGTAATAAGAACAGTAGAAGGTTTTTGTTTAGATTAGGGATCACAAACTCCCAAACTGGGAAACTAAATGACAGCTAACATTTGGCTTTATTTAGTATTTAGAAGAAAATGATGAATGGTAGAGATGATGGCCATGGGGATCAAGTATGTTAGTTGCTGCTCTGCTCCAGGCCTTTGTTGCTCTGCAGGTGTAATAGTAGTTTTAGAATGCAAATTTTTTAAGAAGCCAGTAATCCAAATTGTTATGCAAAATCTGTAAATGTTGGCAAGTTGATAACCACCAATGGCAGTCAATTCTATGATTCAAAAAAGGGGCCAGTAAGAACTAGTTTGTAACTGCTAATTTAGTTCAGTTGGAGAAAACAAACTACAAAATAAGATTCCTATTAAAAACAGTTTTCAGGGCTGGGGAATGTAGCTCAGTGGTAGAGTACTTGCCTAGGATGTATGAGACATTGGGTTCAATCTCAGCACCAAAAAAAAAAAAAAAAAGTTAAAAACAGTTTAAAATAGGAAGCCAAGCATGGTGGTGCCCTCCTGTAATCCCAGTGGTTCAGAGGGCTGAAGAAGGAGTTTCACAAGTTCAAAATCAGTTTTAGCAATTTAGTGAGGCCCTAAGCAATTTAGCAAGAACCTGTTTCTAAAAATAACTAGTCAGTCAAGGTAGCACACAACTGTAATCCCAGTAGCAGCTCCAGAGGCTGATGCAGGAGGATCAGGAGTTCAAAGCCAGCCTCAGCAAGGGCGAGGCACTAAACAACTCAGTGAAACCCTGTCTCTAAATAAAATACAAAATAGGGCTGGGGATGTGGCTCCGTGGTTGAGTGCCCCTGAGTTCAATCCCTGGAACCCCCCCCCCAAAAAAAATATAAAATGGCAACATGATCATAAATTTTTTTTCCTTCTTTGTAATGCCTGTGATTGAACCCAGGACTTTGTGCATGCTAAGCAAGTGTTCTACCACTGAGCTACACTCCCACCCCCATTCGTAAACTTTTGTATCATATTTGAAGAGTTCTTTTTAAAAAATTCATGTATATGTCTTTTTACTTACAGCATATATGTGTAATCTTAGTATTTATTTCTGTTTTCACAGTTTGTTTTAAATCTGGAGTTAAACTTTGTTTGTAGTAGTACTAAAGGATTATAGCTTTTTTTTTTAATATTTATTTTTTTTAGTTTTCGGCGGACACAACATCTTTGTATGTGGTGCTGAGGATTGAACCCGGGCCRCACGCATGTCAGGCGAGCGGGCTACCGCTTGAGCCACATCCCCAGCCCGCTTTTTTTTTTTTTAAGGTGGGGGGAGAGAATATTTTTTAATATTTATTTTTCAATTTTCGGTGGACACAACATCTTTATTTTATTTTATGTGGTGCTGAGGATCGAACCCAGTGCCCCGCACATGCCAGGCGAGCCCCTATAGCTTTTTTTTTTTTTTTTGGATTCTTTTGCCCATTTGTATATAGTAAGTAGATTTCTTGAAGTCTTGTTTTTCCCCATTAAAATTTTTTTGATTGCTGCATAAAGTACATGTTTATGGAAATACAGTGTGACATTTCGGTATATAGTACAATGTATAATGATTATGTCAAGGTGGTTGTGTAGCATTCATTCACCTTAAATATTTGTCATTTCCTTGTGTTGGGAACATTCAGAATCTTCTCTCTTATTGGTTGTAGAAATATAGAGTTGTATATTTCATTTTGCTATAGAAATATATGATTTATTATTGTCAACCTTAGCATACTGTTATGTAGCTTTAGGAGTCATT